TATTAGACCTGACGTTTCAATGTTAGTCGTCTTCTTCAGAAGTCCGTATTCCACCAAAATGCGACAAGCCCGCGCATCAAGTAACGGACGTCACAATAAATCAAGCCTAACCTATCAGCTGCACTATTTCAATAAGTTTGCAAAGACAGAAAATGCAAGATGCTTAGATTCCGTCTACAAAAATATAAAACATCCAAGTTAATAAGAAGTAAGCCTTTGCAATTCTTTTTTTAAATCATATATTTAACGTTTGGATTATGATTTTAAAAAAGTTAACTGTATAATTTTAAGTCTTCTTCATTAACCGTGTTTTCGGGATGCTCTATTACTTGGAAATTTGTCGAGTTTTTATAGGAGAGAATTTCTGGTAAGAAAGCGAGAAAAATTAATCAAACTGCACCTGTAAAGTGGATATGACATCTTCTTTCCGAATTGACGTCATCTGCGATAAATCCATCACAGAAATTGCGCGCTCCTCCCCACCTGCTACTTCCTCCTCTTTGAAACGCATCAACTTCTCTATTATGGTTGCTGACCAGAAACTTCGATATGACAACTGAAGTACGATAGATGAAGAATACCGTCAAGTTAGTGATAATCGAAGCAATCGAACGAACCAAACCGAGATCAGAGAGAGGTTTCTCTGGAGAGCCAGTCTTTCCTTCGACTTTAGATAGTTCATAACTAAACAATGTTTTAATGAAAAGTCTGTGAATCGCAAACGAATAAAAATGATAACAAACTAAAAATGGATAGATCCAACCGTTTGGAAATGTTTACCTGAACTCTATCAATAATCGTCCGTACCCCATTTTCTGGTATGGAGGCAATACTAATATACAAGCTACATTATACTCCTCCGCCGACTCCTTTTCCTAGAAATAAACTTACTACATAAACTGAGGCAACGAATAGCTAAGTAAGGCATACTTTGGAGAAGAAGCCAACAATATGAAATCCTCGATCGTCCAAATATGCAAGTACGTAGAACAAAAAAGGATCTGTATCGTAGTATAAGGTCTTATGATCGAGGAACAACTTCGCCAACAAGCACAGATTTTGTGCGTAAGCCTGAAGATATCAACAAAAATAGGGGGAAAATTAGGCGATTCTATCAAGATTCAGTCAAACAACTACCTTATTCTTTCTGCCGTCAATCTCAAAAAACGACAAATTCTCATTGCGATATATTTCATTGCCTGGAGGATGCTTCAGGTAACATTTCTT